GCAGTTCCGGATGGAGGGTGCAAGAGGCGCTGTCTTGGGAGAGAGCCGGCGAGCGAGGCAAGGCTTTTTTTTACTCTTGACAGCAGAGGACCTGTGGGTGCTTCAGGGGGGGAAGCAAGGTGGGGGCTGCAAACTATCATCCGGCAGGCTGCAAATGGCCCCCAAGTCACATGTTTGAGACCCCTGATCTCCATGGAACCGCTGGGAAAGGTCATCAAGAGGTTTGGGCTGAGGAGGCAGCAATATGCTGACGACACTCAGCTCTACCTCTCGTTTTCCACCAATCCAGGTGAGGCGGTTTCTGTGCTGAACTCATGTCTGGACCTAATAATGGACTGGATAGTGGTTAATGAAACTCAGTCCAGACAAGACGGAAGTGCTGTTAGTGGGTGCTTCACTGGACGGGCTAGAGGGCCATTTCCCTGCCCTGAATAGAGTTGCACTCCCCCTAAGGGACAGTGTCTGCAGCCTGGGTGTGCTCCTTGACCCCAGTCTAACTCTGAAAGCCCGGGTGGACTCGGTGGCCAGGGGCACCTTCCTTCAGCTATGGAAAATATACTACCTTTGACCTGAAAATATACTACCTGGATGAGCAGAGTCTCATGACTGTTATGCATACATTGGTAACATCCTGTATAGATTACTGCAATGCACTGTATGTGGGGCTGCCTTTGAAGATGGTCCAGCAATTGCAACTGGTCCAGAATCAAGCTGTGTGGCTGGTGAGTGGTGGGGCCGCTAGGGAACACATCAGGCCAATTCTGTTCAAATTACATTGGCTACCAGTCGCTGCCAGGCCCAATTCAAAGTGCTTGTTTTGACATATAAAACCCTAAACGGCTTGGGTCCTGGATACCTGAAGGAGCACCTTCTTTCATATAAACCTACCCAGCAATTTAAGATCTAGCCAGGGGGCCCTCCTGAATGAGCCATTGCTCAAGGAGGTAAGACAGATGGCTTGTAGACAAAGGGCCTTTTTGGCAGCTGTCCCCAGACTATGGAACACCATCCCAAGTGAGATTTGTCTGGCGCCAACATTGATGATGTTTTGGCACCAGGTCGAAACTTTCCTGTTCCAAAAGATTTTTAATTGAAATAATATCAACTGTGGGTCCTGATGTCAAATTTTCAGAGTACTGTATTTTAATTGTTTTATATTTTAACCTTTTTATTGCATTTAAGTTGTTGTAAGCCGCCCAGAGACCTTTGGGTAGTGTGGGTGGCATTCAAGTTAAATAAAATAAATAAATAAATAAGATTGTCCACAAAACCAATCACAAGTGGTTCTAAACTGGGCCAAAAAAAGAGAAAAAAACACATTGTTGCTTTTGAACAGATGTGTTGGAAAAGCAGTGCATATCAAATAACAACAGGATATGATGGAGAAAACTTAAATAAATCTTTCTTTTCTAAACTTACCATACCCTCCATATTCTGCTCCACCAAATAAGTTATTTCTTTTCTCTAAACTCTTTTCCCCCTTCTCTTGTCCAGAGAATTCAGGTTAAACAAACTCATTCATTCATTTACACAAACTTATTGATTTACACATTCCAATTAACACGCATCCATTTGTTCATTTACACAAAATAAAGTAAGACTTCATTAAATCCTCTTTTCCTGGGACCAGAATTTCATTCACTATGTTTTGTAACAGTAGGATCTGTGAACTAAAGAGAACAGGAAATCTTAAATGTGACAAAGCATTGTTAGGGATGCTGGTTTGTAGTCAAACTATGCTTTTTTTCCCCAAAATCATTGTTCATTGTGTTCAGGTTCAGTAATAAATGCCCCTCACTAGGAGCAGAAGTTTCCAATTTCCTTGTGGTGCTTACAGAGAAGAAGGGAAGGGAATGAGAAGGCATGTGAGCCTGATGCAAAATGCTGATTTTTCATAATCATAACAATAAATGATAACTGTTTTTCACTTCCAAATGAAAACATTGTGGAAAGATTTGCATCTTGCAATCCTAAAAAAACAGAAGGACAAACCTCCTAGATAAGCAGGACTGATTTGGTGGCTGTAAGCTTGGATCTATTCCAGCCAACGTGCAGACAAAAATTCTCCAAGGGGAAATGCATTCCAGCTGATCAGCAGGACTTATTTTCACCTTCAAAGTCAACTCTGCTGTGTGATTTATAATAACTGTGGCTGTAATATATTTTAAGAAATAGTAAACACGATTCAGTGATTTCTCTCTTCAATGTATTTCAGAAAGTACTTTGGTGAAAAGATTGGACTGTACTTTGCCTGGCTTGGTGTGTATACACAAATGCTGATTCCAGCTTCCATTGTGGGGATTATCGTGTTTCTGTATGGCTGTGCAACTGTGGATGAAAATATACCAAGGTAACATACAAAGCATAGGTCTCCGTGCTCTACGTGTTCCAACCATTATGATTATGTCTTGTAATAGGTAGAATATTCTATTAGCACTCAGTCATGCTAATTTTATCTTCATAAAAGACAAAGGGAGTCCTTGATTTTTATATATAGTTTTGGATTCTCCATACTACAGTATTGTTTCAAAATTCAGAATATTACAGAGTTCCAGGTATCATCTTAACATACTGTGTAGTTGTTTTGAAGTTTCCATTGTGTATTTGCTATCACAATACTCTGCCATAGGTGGCAGGACTGCTGTTTACAAAACAGCCATTTCATCTTTAAAGTTCTTCTCCATGCAGAAAAGGGACATTATCCTACTTTCTGGTTGCATAACCTAGCACAATTAAGATAGTGCTCATTGACAAAAATCCTATTGCTTAAATTGCAAAGCAATAATTTGTTGTAAATTGCACAACGGTAGGCCCACTGAATCAATAGGGATTTGATGAGTCACTTTCTCTATAAGTTCCATTGACTCAAATGGACCTACTCTACTTATTATGTTAAGATTTATCTTAACATAATAAGTAGTAACTAGAGCAGACCTATTTGAATCAGTGGAGCTTATGGAGGAATTAACTCTCTAAATGGCCACTGATTCAATGAGTTCACGTAGTGCAATTTACTATGGTAAGCAACAGGGATTTTGGCCTTTATTCACATGCATTTACTATGGTAAGCAACAGGATTTTGGCCTTTATTCACATGCGGAGAACAGGTCCATTCCTACTCTCTTCCCAGCACTAGGAAAAAACCAGAAGATATCACCTTATTTGTGATATATCTCCCAAAGGCCTACTTCCCTGTGGCTATTTTTGAAAGCTTGAAGATGTTAAATTGAAAATAAATCAATACAGGTTACAGGAAATTGAAGGAATCTAATAACATATATTAGTCAAGTAGCACAACAGTAACAGAGTTGTGGTTTGTGAGGAAATTCCTTTTTTTAACTCAGCATTTTATTTCCTTTTGTATTTGTTTGAAAGAATTTCTGGAGAATATCAAAATGATATATTAAATGTGACAAACATAAGGTACATTATTTAGCATGACACATTGGAATAATGATCTCCCTTAATATAGACACTGTCCTGTCTAGAGTTAGTTTTCTAAAAGCATTTGCTTTGTTTCTGACTTGAACACAGTACCTAGAATAAATCAGGAGAGTGAAGTATAGGTAAAATTCTGGACTACATCATTTCACACTGTAATTAGTAGTAATATATTTAAATGTTCTCCTCGGTTTAAAGAAAACAAATAGAAAGATCTCTGACTACAGTAATCTAGCATGTGAGCAGAAGAGCAATTAAAATATGCATTCTCATCTATCATCCATCTCATTTTATAGACACACCACTTGTCAATCTGCTGGCCAGATCGAACCACTGTGGCCTCTTCTCTCAATTCCTTTCCCACTTTGTGAAAGGAGCTATACAATTAAGAAGGCCATTGCCTCTGCCCATAAGCTCAAATGACTCACATGTTCTGTCCTTGACATCCAAATGTTGAACATGGACATCTAAGAATGGGAATCCTGTGTGCATCGGTTTTAATAGCAGCTGGAATTCTGACCACACAGGCCTCTAGCTCCTATGGGAGTTCATAAGCATATACAGTAATGTTACTTGGTTAGGCTTTCCATTCTTGCTTAATGTTGGGACTGACTTGTTCTGTCCTTGACATCCAAATGTTGAACATGGACATCTAAGAATGGGAATCCTGTGTGCATCGGTTTTAATAGCAGCTGGAATTCTGACCACACAGGCCTCTAGCTCCTATGGGAGTTCATAAGCATATACAGTAATGTTACGTGGTTAGACTTTCCATTCTTAGACAATCATGCTTAATGTTGGGACTGACTATAATACCAACACCTGACTATTACCAACACCCTGGTAAAGGAACCAGAGGCATGGCCCCTTTAATTCCATAAAGGGACCCAAACATTCCTAATATATCATCTGGCATGAACCATTGTTATTATCACAGGCTGTATATGGAATCCCTTTTGGCCACACTGAATGACCCGTGTACAGGGGTAATGGGATGTGCATTATTCTTTAAACATGAAACAGTTGCTGTACTTTGCTTCCATTGTTCCCTTTTATTTCTCATGCTCAGGCTGGGAGTGCCATTATATATACAGTGCAGCTATAGAGGTAACACTGCATGCAAGAAGGAGGTAGCAGCAAACCTGGGAAAACTGCAAAATTAGCAGAAAGAAAAGATCCTAAAAGTGTGGACACAAAATTATATCAGTGTGCGCTGAGCATATTCAGTTGCCATGAAATTCTGAATGTCCCTGGTGGGAGGGGAAAAGTGGAGAGGGAAGATGGATTTGAATGGAGTGGCTGGAATCCTGAACAGCATACTCCACACGCTTACTATTTGGAGGTCTTACTTCTCTTTAGTACTAAGTATTACTAAGAAGAATGTTGACAGTCTGGAAACAGTTCAGAACAGAGGGTGATAAAATTCCAAAGGCCAAATCCTGACAAGAAAGGCTTAAGGAACTGTTTATGTTTTGCCTAGATAAAAAGCATAATCATTGTGTTTATATTTGGGAACTTTAAAAAAATAATTTAGATGTCAGAGGTAGAAAGGATTTTTTTCTTGAAATTGTCTTCTCAGAAAGGGGCAAGGAAAATGTATTGAAAACCATTTATTCCTTTTCCACATTCATGTCCTACCTTTCCTCCAAAACGCTTCACAATAGAACACATGGAGAACTGCATGCATGATTTTAAAGATGACTTTATTGGTACTCTTTTGTGTTATAGTTTTAGAAGAGGTAGCCATGTTTACCTTTACAAGCATATCAGACAAAATCCAAAGAAACAAAACAAGACAAAAAACATGTTGCACCTTAAAGACTTAACTATTATATTTTAATGTTAGTTTTCGTGGACAAGTCCACTTCATCATACATATGTTGAAGTAGAATTGTCCACGAAAGTTCACATTAAAATATAATAGTCTTTAAGGTGCCATATTTTTTGTCTTTCTCTTTTTTGTTTTGGTTTGGTTTCTTTGGATTTTGCCTAATATGTTTCATGTTCCTTAATTATATTTAAGTTTTTTCACATCATACCACAGTTGCACTGCTTTTGAGTAGTGTAAACAATATTGTAAGAAACTACTAAAGAAACAATTATAAAACTGTTATGCTATCTTATACTGACAAAAAGTGTTGCAGACAGGTTTAATTTCAAAGGAAAATTATCTACTTCAGTCTCTCCTCATCCCTGCTCCAGTGAGCTTCCTATACAAAACTATGCCTTCTCTGTCCAAGTAAACTTCTCAACATTTCAGGAAGTTATATTCATTAGAATTTCTTCTTTCACAACAAAAAAAATAGATTGTAATGTGTTCTTTTCCCCTTAATTCTCTTCAGTTTCCTAAAAATACAATGAAACTGAGAAAGAAGGAGCAATTTCCCATCCCTGGTTGCATCCAAACTAAAAGAGCAACAATGCTACCCCATTGCTGGCTAGTGGACAGTGAGAAAGAGTTATGGAAATGTCCCAGGATGCCTGCAAAAAACCCAGCAGGAAACTTCAGAATGGGACATTTCAGGGCTGGGTCAGAGTTGGATCTAATCAATCAAAAAACCCTTTAATGCCCAAAGAGGCCCCAGTCCTGTGCACCTCTGCCAGCCTGAAGTTGACATAAATACCTTTCCCCCTCTGAAATCATTTTGAACGGCAGAAATTGGGAGAAAGGAAAGTAGCAGTCATTGAACTGTGTGAGCAAACCATGCAATTTCACACTGACTAGCTTGCGTTACATAGCTTTGGGATTTTGTTCCTATTCTTTACCATTAGTTTACTTCCCACTATACATAAGATAGCTCTTCACATTCAGCTCATGCAGACTTCATTTATCAATACAAAGTCAAACTTAGTGTTGTCCTTCCTTCCTTCCTTCCTTCCTTCCTTCTGACTCAGTTCATTCATGTAACATTTTGTCTGGTCAAGAACATTACAGATCACAAAAGCTTATGGACAATTTTGTACCTATTTGGTTGGTCATAATAGATGTGTTGTTTCACCTTGGATTTGCAAATTTTTCTAGGGATTAAGATCTACTGAGAAAAGGAGGATTCACTGCTTAGTAAACATGCATGGGATTATTGTGCTGTTACTGCATGTTTCTTTTAAGACAGTTTCAGAACAAGGCTCAGCTGTCCTCTCTTTCTCTCACACCCATGCAAATGCTTGTTTAAACACACAAGGATTTTTTTTCATGGACTGTACCAAACAGGTGTGAATCAGTCTGGGACAATTCCATAGAAATCACCTAAATATGCCATAGCCTGTTTAGTTCCAATAGCTATTACCACCTGGGAACATGGAAATTCTGAGGGCCTAATAAAAACTAATCTGTTAAATGTTCTTACAAAAATAAGAATAAGCTGCATTCTTGCACATACTCTTCACCAGTCTGAACTTCCTCCCCTTTTCAGCCTTAGCTATACCATAACATTAGCACCACTGTGAACAAAATATGATGAATATCATTAGAGATCAACTTTAACTGGTGCTTGTACATTGCGTACAACTCCTAGTTTTAAATGCTAGCAAAAAAAAAAGTCTGATTAGCATTAACCATGGCTAATATCAGTGCAACAGCTTATGCTGTAAAAGAGGGGGGGGTTAAATGGTAGTGCAAGGGGAATAAGGTGAGAAAGACTGTAATTCTTTGGCCTGCTCCAGATCAATAATCTTAGGAAAGAGACTGACAGTGTTACTATTACACTGAGCTGGTTTAACTCTGTGACCATACATCTGGGTTATGTATCTCAAGAGATTTGAATAAAAGGTCTGAGTGCACTGATCCTTTGCAGTCTCCAAGGCTGGCACTGTATAAGATTTTTAACAGCTCAATATATTGTGCCAACAGGGAAAGATACAGAACAGTATAACATCACACATCACAAAGTAGCAGACATATGCCCATCTCCAAGGCTGGCACTGTATAAGATTTTTTAAAAACAGCTCAATATATTGTGCCAGCAGGGAAAGATGCAGAACAGTACAACATCACACATCACAAAGCAGCGGACATATGCCCGCATAATAGGCACAAATGTGTACAGGTAGAGTGTTAACATTTTCCAGTCTGTTAAAAACAAATACATGGTGCTGTTTCTCTTTTACATCTACCTTACCTATTTTTTGCCAAGCTTTTAACAATGGGATGTGTTCACTACATTTACTGCTTGTTTTCCCTCAGCATGGAGATGTGTGACCAAAGAAACAATATCACCATGTGCCCCTTATGTGACTCAACATGTAGCTTCTGGAAATTGAGTTCTGCCTGTGCCACAGCTCGGGCAAGCCATCTATTTGACAATCCAGCAACTGTCTTCTTCTCCGTCTTCATGGCTCTTTGGGGTAAGAATCTTCTTCAACTTTGTTTTGTTTCTTTGGATTTTGCCTGATTTGCTTGCACAGACTAACATGCTACCTCCTCCCAAACTGCCTGGCTTTGGCTAGCCTGGTGCTTGGCTGGGGATTTTAGTTTGCTTACATTGTGGGAAGAAAAACAACTGGAGGATAAATATGATGTTTTTACAATTCATCAATTAATTATCTGTAGTCCTTTCTTTTCCCCTTCCCTCTTCTTCCATAAAACTGTCACACTTGTATTTATGCTCTGAACTGAAGGTTAAAACACAGAAAGCTGCTTGGATGAATATAAAATGAAGCATTTGTCATAAAGCTGCTGCATGGCATGTATAGATAGCACTAAAGGGACAGGGTAGCTTGCCAAAAAAAATCTATTTGCAGACCTGGCTTCCAAATTAGACCACTGAAGAAAAGATTTATAGGACATTTTTCTTCCGTAGAGAAGTGGTCTTCAGATTTGCAGAACAAAGCAAGGTTAAATGATGACTAAGCTTCTAGGTACATTAGTGTTATCAATAGATCTGATACTCTCAAGGTGTCCTCTTATTTTGTATGTTTGTACCACTGAAGTTTTCTTCTTATTTATGAGACCCCCCCACACAAGAGCATGCCCATAGTCAAATTACTTGTATCTATTCCAAAGCTGTCAATAGTTGGTAGAAGTCAAAGTAGGTGTATATTACCTCTCAGTATGAGGGCTAGTATGCTTTTGTATACCAGTTTTTGTGGAGGTACTGTTGCCTTTATGTAAGCTTCTCATAAGTGTCAGGTTGGTCACTGTAGGAACAGAATAGATAGATCCTTGGTCTGATCCATCATAGTTCTTATGTTTGATTTGAAGAGCATGTTTAATACAGTTCATATGCAGGACACTACCATAGAGTATCATTACTGGTTAGATGCTTAGGTGCTTCTTAAAGTCTCTTTCACAAAACATTTGACTTTGTGGTGAGAAAGAATAAATATAATAAGTTTGTCATGTTTCCAAGTGAATAATTACATAGCAATTTTTGAATTTTGCATCAGAAAGTTGTTCCGCATAAATGTCTCTCCTTCAGACAAAAGAGACTATATAATAGTTGCATGCAGTTGTTTCATCCTCAACATTGAGTATGGCAATCAAGCTCATTTTGAGCATGTTAGATATGTGTAGGAGGGAGTTTGAAAATTTTTGTTTTGCTATTTGTATAAAAACCATGATTTGCTTTAACTCTGTACAGTCTGACTTTTCTGAATTGGGCCAAGGCAATAAACCGCAATTTCAAAAGAAAAGCTAAAGAGCAGTGGATTCCAAGCTGAATAACTCATACTTGGTTTTGCACACCAGGATTTCCATGTGTTCGCATAACTGCTCTTAAGGGCCCAGGCCCTTGCTTTTGCCTATATTTATATAAGTAAGAAAAATGTCTTGTGTAAAGCAGCCTGATCATGCCATCCATGTTCTCCACTCTTTCTATCTGAAGTCAGAGATAATTTCCAGAAGGATATTCATGGAGCTCAGTAGAAGAGCACATGGAAATGGTTTCATATTTGATAGATTAGTAATTTAGGTTTCTGGATGCAGAGTCAGTGGCTGAGAGTTTGGTCCACTGCTTTTCCTCTTTGAGAGGGTCTGGACTCCATGATCCATAGGGTCCCTTCCAGTTCTACAGTTCTAACATATTATTATTATCTCCAGGCAAGGGAGATAAAACACTGGCCTAAAACCCTTAAGGGCTACTGTCATCAGTGCAGACAGCACTGAGCTGAATGGAACTGGTGGTCTGATTCAGTATAAGGCATTAGCACTCTGTGTTCAAGCAACAAATGAAAGCTTATTTCGTTACAACCTCTTATGTTAAACTATTGAATGGCCACCTTCCAAGCCTGTGAATATGTATCTTCAGGATGGCAGACTAGGGTGGCTGCAGTTGAACGTGCACCAGACTTTCAACCATGAAATTCCCACCTAATGCAATGCTTGTCTATGATTGCCCATGACTGATACTCTGTTAAAGAAGAACGTCATAATGCACAAAGAAGTAATCCTGTCAATGCCCCCTGACTACCAAATATGAACCTTCCACTCTTACTGGGCATAGAACACTATAGAACATGATGCTAGAGTAAGATCGCCACCTCCACTTTGCTGGTCACCTTGGATTGGTGAATGTGCAACCTGACCATAGTATCCTCTCGCCTAGCATGCTGCCACTGTAGTGCTAACTTGGTCAGGTCACTCTTTCCTCTAGTTATCAGTTTATGAAACCTTAATGCATCAACGTACGTTACAGTGATGCTGCCCTAAATAACACTGCCTGGTACCCATCCCTACAGATGGCAAGCCATCTATCGTCAATTTTACAATGCTAGGGATATGGATACCCTGTATCCTAGACCTGACTCCTTTCTTTACTCCAGCCTGCAAACAGCTTCCTAATGCCCAAGTCAGAGGTATGCTCCTACTATCCCCAAGTTGGGGCCTGATCCAATCAGCAGTTCCTTCTTATGTGAATAAACTATAAACTGTTGCAAGTGGTCCACAGGAGCGGCGAAAACAGATCCCATATCATTAGGTTTCTAAACTCCTGAAATCTTATGTTTGCTGACATATACCAGTTTAGCATTCTCGGGTCAGGGCACAAGCCTATCACGCTGTCTGCATCAACATGCGGATTTGTCAAACTGCTGTGGGAAGAGCCTCTGGGAATTCCTGGGCTCCTGCATCTAACTCCCTAACCCGATCAGTCTGTTGGAATGATAGTGCATCAGCCAAGCTGATATCAGCAAGTAGCTGACTCCATATTTGTAATTCTAAATGCATGCCCTTTACAACCTGGGTTTGATGAACAAGTAGACAATTCCGAGACCTAAGGTATCCAGTTTGTCCCCTGGCAACCTGGAGGCTTGTTGCCTATTGTCTAATTCTATTCCCACGAAAGTAAGTGTCACAGCTGGCCCTTCTGTTTATTCCCCAGCTAATATCAACCCCAACTCCTGCACTATTTTTAGGAAGGTTTCCAATATAATTCAGCAGCGACTGGTGTAGTTTTCACCACAAAAGGATAGTCATCCAAACAAAGGGCAGTGTTCTCATAACCTATTCTGCTCCTGAGCTTCCATTCCAAAATGAACTGAACTGCTCAAATGCAGTGCAGGAAATGGAACTGCCCATTGGCAAGGCCCCATAAATATAATAAGAGCCTTGAAAATAAAAGCCCAAAAGGACAACGTCTAATGGATGGATTGGGAGAATATGAAACACTGACCAATGTTGCATCTTGCAAGCTCCGCCCCAGTTCCACATCTACTTCCTCATAAAAGGAAGTGCAGCGCACATCGTGAAGCTCCTGCGAAAAGGCATGCACTGACTCCCCTTCTGGGTAAGACAAGTAATGAATGAGCCTATGTTCTCCTTTATTCATCTTGGGTACCACACCCAAGGGCGATACCCAAAGGTTCTCCAATGGGGCATACTTATAAGGTCCCCAAACTCTACCTTCTAACACTTCTTTTCCAATTTGTCCCGAACTATATTTTCCATGCCATTCACTGACTTCAAATTTTGGCAAAAAAAACGCCTTGCGCTCACCAAAGGCTGGCATTCTAGAAGCAAACCAAAAACCTTCCACCAAATACTGTGCGTCTGCATCTCATGAATAGTTTGGCAACCAATTCTCCAATGCTTAGACCTGAATTGGACTGGGCCCCTATGTTAAATAAGACATCAAAACACAAATCCGACATTCCACGGGATGGAGCAGTGAAATCAAAGGGCTTAGACCCGTATAGTATAGATACATCCAGACTATACAGGAAAACAGTTTGTAGGGGGTGCCTTGCCATGCAAACTCTGCCTGCTGAAATTTTATTTTCTTCACAACTACTTTTAAAAATGTGTCCTATTTTATATCTCACCATCATATTTGAGCCCTGGCTGCGCTTAGGGGTTTTTTGGTAAACCTTGGAGGAGACTGTGCCATACTGGTGCTCCTTTTGACAGGTATCTTATCCCTGACTTTTCTGTAAAAAGGATTTGTTAGGCAAGCATTGTATCCAGCTATTATTCAACCTATGAACAAAAGTCATAGATTAAGTAATAGTCCTATCTTTCTGTTCCTGGGTTTTGTTTTGTTTTTGTCTTGTTTTTGTCTTTAATGTGTCTGAGAGCACCCACTGTTCTTATGGCCCAGTATTGGCCCAACATCATTTTTTTTTAACTTAAAAGGTTACTACTTACAAACTTTCTTTTTCTGTTGTTGTTCTATCATATTGCTCTTAGATAACATGTGCAAATGCACATAAACAGTGTGAGTACGTATATTAATGTTTACTCAGATGTAAAGTGTTTTCAGTTTGATAAGACTTTCTACCACATGAAGAAGTACAGACTCAGTGCCATACTATCCATGTGTATCCAGAATTAAGCCTCACTAACTTTTGCCCTAAATTCAATTTAAAGGCTCTTTAAATGCTTGACCTAACTCAGGTATTCAAATTCTTGACCTAATTCGTATCAACAAATCAGTTCCAGCAGTTCCTTATCACCAACAAGAATGAGACCTTTGTAAACTGGAAGTCTTCACTTATTAACTTATTGGTGACCAAACCACCACAAAAATTATATTCAATATTATTTTCTCTTGTTTTGGTTTTACTGGAGTTGACTCTCTGCTTTCAGTTCTTGCACTGATCACATTAATGCTAGTCAAGATGTGTGGGCATCAAAACCAAGTGTGTGTCCCCATATGCATACAGACACTATGGGGTTAACTGAGACTATTTCAAGCATAAATGGAAGCAAAATACTTACCAGTGTTATGTCGTTTCCAGATGTTTCAGTCAGAGTGCTTTAGCTACATATCAGACATTGGAAGGCTGTGCAAAGGGAAGGATGTAACATATATGAATAAAATGTCTGATCCAACAGCTAGATTATTAAATTGCACTTTTTGTTCTAGGCATTAAAATCCTCATCTTCACTTTCACTTTAATCTTGTTCTTCT